GAGGCCCTCACCTCTTTCGGGCCACCTCCTGATGCCGTTGCTTTGCCGGACTACCACTTGAGGCCCTCACCTCCGTCGGACCACCTCCTGACGTCGTTGCTCCGCTATATCACCACTTGAGGCTCTCACCTCTACCGGACCATTGCCTGGCGTCGTTGCTATGCGGAACCACCACTTGAGGCCCGGACTTCTGCTGGACCACCACCTGAGGCCCATACTTTTGCTGAACCATCACCTGAGGTCCGTACTTCTGTCAAGCCACCACATGATCCCTAGAGTTCTCCCGGAATATGGACTTCTATCGCATATTATGGTCCTTCCGACCTCCATCAACAAATAATGGTCTTTCTGACCCCGGTCTCCTACCAACTACGATCTTTCGGGCCTTTGTCTCCAGCTGATTACGGTCCTTCCAACCTCTGTCGCCTACTTTGGTCCTTCCGACCTCCACCAATAAACAATGGTCTTTCTGACCATGCACGGTCTCCTGCCAACTACGGTCTTTCGGACCTCTGTCTCCTGCCGACTACGGTCCTTCATACCTCCGTCGCCTACTATGGTCATTTCGACCTCCATCACCAGACAACGGTCTTTCCGGCCTCCATCCTATAGACTGTGGTCATGCCGACCAAACAAACATGTCTATATTGTAACTCTCACCATGTAATGCGCTATATATGATGTACATTTGTAACATCAAGACAAGGCCTTCTCCCTAAGTAGAGCCTCATATGTAATCGACCGCAAATACTAGTGGATTCATTCAAACTGGGTCAGGCCCTGTGGTTTTTCCCAAATTTTTTAGAGGTTTTCCATGTAAAAACTCTATTGTCTCTAATGAATGTTACACGCTCTCACTTATCTGATTATGTGTTGGCTATTCGCACAATACTAAGACCTTAAACTATATATTTTTCTACCGCCGCGAATACTCCAGGACGCAACAAGACTAATGCAAACCATCAACAAAAAAGTGTTGACAGACTGATTTAGGAGCATCCTAGTCATAATTAGCTTAAGGATTAGCATATCTAGTTTGTTACATGTTTTTTTGAATATTCTATTACTAGGTTACATATCTAACTATTGTAGTATGAAGGATATGAGGAATATTATGATATTTTAAGCCTTGAGCTTGATTTCACACAAACATGGTTCGTTCTAGCAGATCCGTTCTTCCACTGATCCACTACATCACATACCCAATAGCAAACAAAGTCCATCTATGTTATAGATAATAAAATGTATGTACATTATTGCCTATAAAGTTGAAGTGCAGCATCAACATTAACACGACCCACACAATCGTTAATAATGTTAATGCACACTATCGATAGATATGAACGCATGTACACCCTTCACCTAACGTGTAAAAAAATGGCCCATTATGATAATTTGACACAAACATGGTTCAAGAAATTTGAGTTTGGATCGACCCAATTAAAATTCAGGCTCAGTTTAAATATTTGAAGTCTCCGATCGATCGCTTGGATTCCAGTGGAAGCCACTGCTACTCGTAACTTTAGGATTTAATAAACTGAATGGAGAGAATGCAGCCACGACTGCACAATGAAACAAGCGAAACTGCATTGGATGCCTCTGGCAACACGAACGGTGATAGGTACCGTAGTATTGCCCATCTTTAATGCATTTTTGAATGATCTCATTAGGAAATAGGGCTGAAGCAAAAACAAAAGAAAATAAAAAGGATTAGGTGAGTGATCTGATTCTTTAGCCCCACGGAATCATTAATTTGTTTGTTGAAAAAAATTTTGAATTCAATGAAGGACGTCAAGCATGCGGTTTTCCTTTTTATAATCCAAGTCCACGGTTGGTTTAACAAATCACCTTTTCTTTAACCACCCTTAATAATTGCACTTTGTAATTTAAGAGAGTGGTTGTATATATAGTCATAGCTTCCAATTAAAATAAAAGATGACAAGCTAGCATGTGAATGCCTAGCTAGGTATGTTTTTCAATATTATGATGAAAAATTTCAGAAAAAATAAAATAAATTTTATTTTTCTAATTGTTTATAAAGTTAATTAAGTTTTAAAAGTGAGGATTAAATATGATAATCTTTAATTTAACTCAATCTCATAAGCATAATTTGGAATGGATGAGGGGTGGCAATAATATTTTATATGGAAAATTTTCATAAGAAAAAAAAATTATGGGGCCTAATGAAATTATAATGATAGTACATGTGAGGCCTACCTCATGTGATTTGATGGATTGGAGCATAGGATGCTTCTTTTCTATTCTAAAAAAATGTTGCAAAGGGCACCTGGGTTGGTCCATGTACATGTTGGTTGTAAGTGCAAGGATGTAAGTCCTAGTATGATTGATATTAGTCCCGAATAGCCCATAATTAAGATTGTGTATACATGTAGCATTGGCATGATTTTCATTACTTGTAGTTGTTTTGATCATCATCAAAATTTCGAGTGGGGCAAACCCATCTTGACCGTTTTATGAAGCATGTTTGATGATGCTACTATGATTGTAGAATAATCATAGATAAAAGAACGAGTAACACCAAATCCTCAGGTGACAACCATAGTACTCAACTATCATCATCATGCCAATTTTATCTAATGTTTTATTATGATTTTATGTGAGAAATGGAATATATAAATCATTTGACATCCATGGGATGGAGATTGTCCCAATCATTTCCATCATGTGTGGCATGTCATATGTCACTATTATGATTTTATGAGGGCATCCAAGGATATATTATATAAGGAGCTTGTTTGATACAAATCAATGAGTGAGGGTTATAACATAACTAGAGATAGTTGTGGCACAACTTCACAAGTTGATTTCACAATATTTGAGAACAAATACCTAAAGTTTATTGAGACGTAAGTCTATAGTCAACAAGAATAATATATAACCAGTTAAATATAATTGGTGGTGGTTGCAGTGCAAGTCTATAGTATATGAGAAAAATAAGTGATGCATGTGGCATATCAAAGGATAGTTGTTGTGGCATAAATTTGTATGATAGAAAAGAGGTTGTGGCATACCCAAAAATAGTTATGATATAAATTTGCAGTTTATAAATACGGTAGGTGAGAGGATTGAGGCATATTTGACAATATCTATGGTGTAAAAATTATATATGGGTGAAGGTAGTGGCACGCTTAGAGGTAGCAACAACCCATGCCCTTATGGGTGATGGCTATGATGCATTTCTCTTAAAAGCTCATAAAGCATTGATACAATCTTTAAAATATAAAATATCTCAACCAAGTTTAACTAAATGATGTGGTTTTTAATAGTTTACTAAATGAAAATTTCATCTATATCCAACATATTTATTATTATTATTATTATTATTATTAACATATAGAGTTGTAATAATTTTAGTTCTAGCTTGTTGATGATGCCTTAACCTAGTGATCTAGGCATACTAGCTAGATTATTATAGATTTGAACTTCACGAACATATTGATGTTGATAGAAGAAATGTTTTGATCAAAATGGCAAACTATGTTCATAGAGTTCACTAGATTGAGCTCGTACTATGAACTATAGAAATTTTAATCAAGCTGATCATTCATCTCCAAACAACCCCCATCATATAATATATTTTGATCAACCATTAATTCCAAGCGCAATAGTTCCCTTAATAACAAGTATTCTCAAGCAATCAATCCAAATTGTAAGTAATCATAGAGACTTGCTCCCATAAAAAATCTAGATCTCTAACTCTTATGTAATTCCTCAAAAGCCCAAGCAACCTCAATGAAAAATATATATGTAAAAATTAAATAATCTTCCTTTGAAGACTCCATGATGCTTGCCATCCAATCCCTAGATTCCAAATTGGCAAGCAAATTGACCTAATTAATTTACAAAACCTTAATAAGAGGGTGACCATCCAAACCCCATGTGGAAGCAATGCAAACCCATGTGGAAGCATGCGCTCATATCTGAGTAAGATCCCAAGGCCAAGCTCCATTAGCATAACCCATGTAGCTGTTGAAGAAATCACTATTACAACAGCAACAAATCGTCTTAAACAATTGGAGACTCCATCAAATTATAATAAAAAATAGTAATAATAGTTGGGAAATGGAAACAAAAAAGAAAGGTTTTGGTGAGTTAAACAAGATCATCTTCATGTTACTTGAACTTCCCTCAATCAACCAGCAGCGAATTTCTCGCGATAAATAATTGTTTCATCGTTGACCTCTCGCCTGCTATATATCACGATGAACAGTAAAATCTAAAAATCTTGAAAATTAAAAAAAAAACTTGTGGATAATAAATATCTAAATTTTGTAATGGTTTCTTTACTGTTACTGCTTGTATTTATGTATCTTTTACTTTTTAGTATTATATAATATTTATATTTTCATCCTTCATAAATGTCTTTAGAATATCTTAATGCAATTGCTTCTGTTCATTCCTCATGTCCGCTTCCTCACGTGCATTTGTCTACGTAGGAATCTCTCCTACCCTCTCCCTCCCTCTATCAACGATTTTAACCCAATTCGTAAGGAGAAATTATTCCGTGCAGAGTCCGGACAGTAAATAACTATCTGGATATGAGTGTATATAGTATCTATACACATTATATATAAAAAAAATCAAACTACGTACAAAATTATACTCAGTATACACACTCTGTACACTCACATCGACACTGCACGGAATAGCTCTCCATTGGTGAGAGAGAGAGAGAGTTGTAGAGAGACTGCTTTCTTTTTATCAAAATTTACAGTCAATTCTCTGTTAAGGAAATGGCTTACGATATACTGATCAGTATAGGCACCAATTCCAGTCTAGAGAAGGAGAGACACAGAAAAAAGTAAAAGAATTAAAATTATATTGCGCTTAGCTTAATTTAACTGTTTTCATTAGATCATGTTGATCAGATAATTCACATGACATGAACCACCATACCTATATGCTCATCAATATTTAGTTAAATCCTTAACAGCAGATCAGAAGAAGAAGAAGAAAGGGAACTTGAAATCTTAAGAGAGAGAGAGAGAGAAAAAAAGCTTGAACTTTATTCCGGGAATTGAAATCAATGAACCTCAAGATTGCAGAAGCGAAGCCGAGTGGGGCTCATAATAGCCGAATTCTCTTATTGGGAGGGCCAGCAGTAGGAAGCTTGACGAAGACGGAAGACAAATCTCGCCGCACGGCGTAGATTCGGTTCAACGAGAGCTCTGTCAATGCCTTCCTGCGAACCGGTTGGAGCTTCCTAGGCGCTGGCGGGCAGAAAGTGGGTTGCTTTAGAATAGAATTCTCTGATTTGGGTGTCACCATCTCCTTCTCTGGCTGTTTGGTTGCCTCCGCCATTGCCATGGCTTCCTTTATTAGCATTGGCGGGGAAGATGGAAGCTCTTCCTTGATGGAGTTAGCGGAGGCTGCCGCCGGCGTGGCATCCGATGGCATGATAGATTCAAGGAGAATGGAAAAGAGAACGGAGAGAGAACGATATAAGGATCGGATGGGTGAAGCTGCGTGGCTTTTTAATTATGAAGGGAGACACGTGGAAGAGGTGGTAGTGATGATGAAGGATGTAAGGGAGTACTGCAAAAGAGGAGAACAAAATTGTCAGCAGATAAATAAATGAGGCAAGTTTCTTTTATTTTATTCAAATTTTAATTATTCATATAATTAACATTTTTTAATTATTGCTCAAATAATGCTCTTTTATTTAATTTATTAAAAATTGAATTGATTTAATAAAAATTATAAAAATTTGACGTCTAAATGAATAAATTTGAAAATAAATTTATTTACCCTTTTAAAGTCATGAACTTATATGCCTTTGTTGTTCAATAAAGAATGAATAAGATATTCATTTATTAATACTTAATTATTTTTTGATGATTTATTTTATATTTTTATATAAACTTTTTATAATATATTATATAATTAAAAAATGTATGCTATTTAAATATGATATAAATATCAAATAAATATTGAAAGGATAAAACTTCAAAAAAAAAATCCCTAGACTATCCCTATATATAGCCATTCTAGTCTCAAAATATAAAACTACACTAGTTTAGTTTCTAGACTATTCAAAATTATTGATCGAAATTTAGCCCTTTGATGCTGAATTGGGATCAATTTTGTGAAGTCATGGATTAAATTAGGATAATCTTTATATCACAAATACAACATTAGGGTATATATAGTGGACAGACTTAATTGGGGCTACGTGATACTTCAAACTAAATTAATAATACATGAATTGGGGACTATTTAGAAAATTTTATAATTTTCCAAATATTTGAACTATAACATGCAACACTAATAGTACTTAATGAATTGCTTTACTCCTAATTAAAAATTATTAAAAAATTATGAGCTTTATTCGAACAACTAACATCCCTAATTATGTGCATTTGTTATGTATATATATCTAAAAAATAGTAATTATAATAATAATAAAACAAAAGAAAAATATATATCTTTTTTTTGTGTAAATGTTTTGTTCATAATAAGATATTGAACTTGCTTCCAAAAAAAAAATTGATGAAAATAAAAAATAGCTATATTTCTAATTTAAGCGAAATAACATATATAGTTAAAAAAAAAAATAAAAAGTAAAATTGAAATAAAGAGTAAACAGTAAACACAACTAAATATGCCTATAGAACAAAATATATAATAAATGCAGAGCTTCCCTAACAATTTCATCCGCGTGGTGCGTAATAATTTGCGCACTATGTGGGCCATGAAAAAACCTTCTCTCCGATCTCTATTCTTAGTATCCTTCGCTGCTCATGTGCTCTCTGTTCTCTGCTATAGACATTTATCATGATTTCAAATCTTTTTTATTTAAATATTTTAACCCAAATTAATTTTCACCCAAAATTCATAATAGCCCGCCCATTCCTTCCCCGCTGTAAATAAGTACTATTACGCCTGCCTAATCCTTTTGATTATAATTTTGTTCTTCCTCCTTCCCTCATCATCACCACCACATCCTCCTCATGTCTCCTCCTTTAATTTAAAATTCCACGAATTTCACTTCTTTTTCCCTCCTTCTGCATCCCCTGTAAACATGGCTTCTGATTCCACTGCGGCGTCGCTGCCGCCGGCGACGCCGGCGAGCAAGGAGGAGCTACCATTACTCCAGCCGATAATAATGAAGACGGTGGTAGGCACCGAAGAGAAAGAGAATGAGATGGTGACTCCGAAGTCAGAGAATTCGACCTTGAAGCAGCCAACCATCTGCCCACCAGCGCCCAAAAAACCCCAACTTGCTCGCCGGAAGGCATTGGCCGAGCTCAGTCCCAACGGATTCTACGCCGTCCCGCAGGATTTGTCGTTGGCCTTCGTCAAGCTCTCCAATGGCAGCAGCCCTCCAAAGAAGAGAATTCGGCTACTGTAAGCCGGCCCCAGCTGGCCTTGCTTCGGCTTTCCTGAGCTTTATTGTTTAATTTTCCATCGTTTCAAGATCTCGCCTTTATTTTTCTTCTTCCTCTCGATCGATCGATCTGCTGTTAAGGGAATCCATGAAATGACAGGTATATAGATGTGGTGTAATAAGTTTGGTTAATGCCCTGTGAATTCTCTGTTAATTCTCTCTAATGAAAGCATTTAAATCAAGCAACCGAATCGTAATTTCTTTCTCTTCTTCTTACAAGATTTGATCTTCCTTCTCTTTGCTGTAATGTTGACTCTTAATTTTCAGAAAGCAAAATCAATTTTGTTCTCTCCCTCTCTGATTGTTTTCAAATCTTAGAAAGAGAGAGCGAGAGGGAAAGAGAGAGAAAGGGAGATTCTCCTGTAGACAAAAGCACATGAGCAAATGGCAGCTGCTTGATTGATGGAAATCAAAGGGACCGGATCATCTTATTTAAATCACAACACACTATTAGTTCCCATTACACAGCTAATAATACTTTTTTTTAATATAATAATTTGAAGAAAAGAACGATTTTTTTAAGGAGAGTTGAGTTGTTTCTCTCTCAAATGGGATTATTCTGCAAATGGGATTCTGTTAATCAATCCTGGCCGTCGGATGTTAGCAGAGAGGATCATCGTTGATGCTTCTGCAAGGGCTTGCATTGTTATCAGAGAAGCCTAGGGATCCAATATTGTACTAAATTAGTCTACGATCATTTAAAAAAAAAATAATTTGGAAGTATTTGGTTTCCTAAGCTGGTTTAGTTTGGTAGAACCGAGGTGAATGTCTTCAGATTTAACTTTTTATTAAGCTGATAGGCTTTGCAAGCTAACAAATAGTAGAAATTTTTAATTCTGATAGCATCAGTAAATGACTTACAAGCTGTAGTTTCTTAGAAAGAAGAAAGCGTACGAAGGAAATTCTTGGAGAGATCGAGAAGGGTAAAAGAGAAGAGAAAGTAGCATTTTTAAAGCAGAGAAATATGCCCACACAAACAGTATTTCATTTTAGCTCTATTGTAGGCATGGTAGGGGACTTTATAGCCAGGGCTTAATTGGATCAAGATGACTCGTGAATCAACTCGGGTTCGACTTCTTAGACGACTCTTGAGTCGAGTCAAATTTGAGCTAGTCATGATTCGATTTGTTGAGTTATGGACTGGCTCATTTAAAAAAATATTAATAAGAAATTCATTTAAAGTAGGTTAGAATTTAACAATTTTTTATGACATTATTTAGAATATTTAAAAATCATATACTTTATTTATTTTTTATTTAGTTTCTTTTTTTCTTTCATCAAATTAGCTTAAAAATAACTTGAAAAGGAATGATCTTTTATTTTTTTCTAATAAATGTGCACAACCTGAACTCATAGAATTATGCTTTAGCTCGAGTTTGGACTCGATCAATTAATCAAGCTGAAGTCGTGAGCAAGTCGAACTTCACTCGACTTATCTATACCCTTGTTGTGAATGCATAGCTTGAGAATTGGCTTTTTTTAATTTTTTTACAAAACATTTGGATTAGATTATCCTTAAATAATTTATATCAAAATAATAAAATAAAACATTTAGATTAGAAAATTGATACGACATAAAATATCTTCTTTTTTATGCACATTTGAATTTTTAGAATCAAATTCAAGACCCTATGAACTCTTATTCTAGTAAACATATAGTCAAACAAAATGCCTTGATGAGATGAACTCATCGACACCAAGAGGGATCTGATCTAAGTTCAAACGATCCCATATCAAATCTTTGAAACATAATTGAAAACTTTGAGATATAAGTTGGAGGATCAAATAGTCTCTAAATCTCAAAGGCTTATAGTTAAATCGAGTGTCCCGATAAGATAAATCTTAAATTATAAAACGATAGTATATGATCAATGAAATTAATATGGTCCAGTCGATAACGTGTCCAATTTTTTGCTACATGAGTTATGCAACATTCAAAAATTTATAAATAGATTCACACTCTTTATATGAAGAAGGTTCAAGGCCCATGGCTTGAGATTTAAGATAAGTCATAAACTTGAAAAGAATCCCAAAGATCCATCAAACTCCTACGATCATGTAATAAACAAAAATTTAAAAACAATAAAATTATATGTAAAAATATGAAAATATGGGTTGCAGCACTAAAGCATTGTTGGGAAGCGCATTAGTACAATAGCGTTGCGGTCCATAGAATTGCAGCTGTGATATTGCAGACTTTGATTTACAATAACTTTAGGATCAACATGTAGCACAACAACATTGGGAAGTTGAGCACTGCGATGTTGAATCAACTTTTTAATATATTTTATATTAAATATCTATCACTACCTTCCCCATATCACTCATTCATTTTACTTGCTCCGAAGAAAATACCGGAGAAGGAGAAAGAGGATAAAGAGTAGAGTAGAGAGAATGTTCTTTAGGGCTTCTTTGTCTATCGCTCTTATTAAAAAAAATTATTTTGATTATTGTAAGTGATTTCTGTACTACTTATATTTTTGATGATTTTAAGTTTGATATATTTCTCACTCCTTAAAATGATAAAATGTAAAATCTTCTCTTTTAGTAAACTTTCATATATCACATAACTTTTGGTATGATATGAGTATCATCATTCTAAGTATTTTGACTAATTTATTTGAAAAAATTATTGGGTAAACTGATAGTTTTGATTCTTCAAGAATAATAAATAGTGTATAGATTTTTCTATATTTTATAGATTATTATATTTCATGCAAGATATTGACTTGTATAGAGAAAATGATATGACTAATATAAAATAAATATGACATTTGCAAGTAAGCAATGAAGATTGACTGTGAACACTAGAATTAATATGAATTGGCTATCAAAATGGTAATGTCGTATATAGGAGGGTGGGTCGACATGTTTTTCTAAAATAAATATTTGTGGTGTAATCCTAGATTTTAGCTTATAACTGATTGACAGATAATGCTGACGCATAAAGAGTGACGAATCTTCATTAATTATTTGATTGATATGGACTGAAACTAGAACATGCATATTGATTCTT